CGGTTTGCCTGGACTGTAGAGTATTTGAAGGGGAATATCTATAAAATAAGGCTGGAGTGTTAGATTGGAACCAGGTTAGACTTTGAATAACCTTCCCCTTCGCTAGGGTGTGGAGAGGGCAAAGGGATCAGTGTCCAAGAAATGGAGGTCAAGTCAGCAAGACTTGGCAACTGATTTGGTTTGGTCAGTGAGGGAGAAGGAAGTGTCAAAGACGATGGAAGCCTTAAACCTGAATGACTGGATGATTCACGCCCATAATATGCCTGGTAATACCTGTGAAACCTTGGATATTATCCAATTTCAAGATGAATAGACTGTACCTGAAGTGCAGTGACTTGTTCCTGGTCATATGGCTAGTTAGTATTAGCCTCAGGTTGAACACTGGCCTTCTGACTCCTAGACTAGTTTTATTTCACCTACAACAGATGTTTTTTCCTCAGTCCTCCAATCTCTTTCCTGAATAGAGCCCTCAACAACTCATTTTGAAGGGCCTCACCTTACCTGAATGGAGACAACTGAACAGGGACTCCATCTGTTGACCCAGTCCCTTCTTCATTGCTTTCATTGCTCAATTCCAAACAATTCTTTCTTGTGGAATTCAATGATAGGGAGGGGTGGCCATTAAATTCTTTCCAGACATTTTGGTAGGCATTTTTGCCTATCTACCGACGGTGGTTGTTGTTTAAAAAATTCAGTGGCACCAAATGTTAGGACAGCAACAATCATAGTGACAAAAGAATTAACAAGCTTATCAGTTGTCAAACATCTATTTATTCAATGCCAATTCATTGCCAATTTATTCAATTCCAAGGTTGGAAAAGTGTTGTGAAAAGCTTTTATATTTGATCCTGGAAGTAATAGGGATTGCTAAAGTTTATCGAGTGGGGGTAGAGGGAAGTATGACATAGTCAGATTTGTACTTTAGGAAAAGTGACTTTAGCAGGTAAGTGGAGGATAGATGGAAGTGGGAAAGGACCTGTGGAAGGGAGACCTAGAGGAGATTATTGTAGCAGTTCGGGTGAGAGATGATAGGATGGTACTTATACAAGTGGAGAGGATAGGACATAAATGAAAGATGTTATGAAGGTAGAATCTAGGTGAGGAGTCAAAGATATCGCCAATGTTGTGGGTCACTGGAAGGATGGTGGTGCCTTGAACAATAAAAGTATAGTTGAAAAATCAGGAAATATTGGGGGTGGGGGGAATGAATTCAATTTCAGACATGCTGATTTTGAGATACCTATGGGCTATCCAACTTGAGATATGGTGTAGCACTAGAGTTCAAAGGAGAAAGATTATGGCTTGACATATAGTTCTGGGAATCATCTTCAGAGAGATCATAATTGAATTCATTGGAGCTGATGAGATCAAGCAAAATAGTATAGAGGAAGAAGAGAAGGGATCCAAGACAGAGCCCTGGGGGACAGCCAGGGTCAATGGGTATAATATGATTAAAAATTAAGAGAAAGGAGACTGAGAATGATTAGTCTCTCTTATAAGCAGTCCTCTGATGAGGACCTAGAGAGGAGAGCTTGGCTAATCCTTAGGAGATGAGCTACATGATAAGGAGGTGTGACTAACTTATTGGCATTACCCTGTGATTAGGTATTTTTTTTTTAAGTGAGTAAACAGAATCTTAGGGAAGTTCAGTTTAGTTTTGGGAGGAGCTTTAGGGGACCTCCAGTTTCACCTTTCTCTGTCCCCACTCCTGAGTTTATCATGTCTTTACTAGACCATGATGGACTGAACAGAACTCAGTACTTCAGATGACATTGGAAAAGGTCACAATACCCTGGGACTAATCATCTCTTCATTCCTGGAATCCCTGCCTCTCTTAATACAGTCCAACATCCCATCAGCTTTTTTTTTGTCTTCCAGATCACACTGCTTACTCACATTGAGCTTGGAGTTCATGAATACCCTCACACCTTTTTCAGATAAAGTGCTGTCTAATTATTTCTCCCATATCTTGTAATTATGAAGTTGATTCTTTTGTACCCAAGTGTAAGACTTGAAAATTCAATAGCCATAAATGTAATCTATTCTTGATTTTGTAATCCTCTGTTAGCTATCCCTCCTAGCTGAGTCACACGCAAATTTGATGAGCATCCCATTTGTGTTGTTCAATTGTTTTTCAGTCTTGTCTGACTCCTTGTGACCCCATTTGGGGTTTTCTTAGCAAAGATACTGGAGTGGTTTTACCATTTCCTTCTCCAGTTGATTTGACTGATGAGGAAACTGAGGCAAACAGGGTTAAGTAACTTGACCAGGGTTACACAGTTACTAAGTGTGTGAGGCCAGATTTGAACTCATGAGGATGAAATCTTCCTGACCCCAGGCCCGGCACTTTATCCTTTGTGCCGCATAGCTACCTCATTTATGCCTTTTTCTAAATCACTGATAAAAATGTTAATCAGCTCAAACATCTACATTGCCACTTATTATCTAGATGAGCTTGGGCAATGCACTGAACCTTTCTGGGCCCTAGTTTTTCCTTTCTAAGATAAAAGAATTGGATTAGATGACCTTTGAGGTACCTTTCAGCTCCGAATCTGAGAAATAACAGCACCTCAAATTACATTAAGTTTGATAGCAGCTGGCAAAGTACTTTTGCTTAGAGAAACCTCATTAGGTTAATGTGAGTTTTGTCACTGTCATTTTACCCATTAAAAAGCTGAGACTCCTAGAGCAGTGCTTTTGATTAATTGATCTGTGCTCATTGTGGATCCCTCAACACACACACACACACACTGCACATATATGTGATGTGAAGATTCTGTAGTACGTTAGATTGTTACATGTCACTCATCAACTCTATCCTACAGTTTTTAGAGTGAAATGACAAAGGAAATTTTCAGTTTTTCACATCTAAATGACTTCAAAGGTCTTCTAATTCAAACTGTACCAGGAGCAGAGGCCCTTCTACTAATGAATTTGATCCTCTGTCCTCTTCATGAAGAGAGGAGGAATTCCTCCCTGTCTTCTAAGGCAGCTCAGTATACTTTCGGATAGCTTTATACGTTAGGAAGTTTTTCCTAACAGCCCAAATTTGCCTCTCTTACAAGCTACCCAAGCATGCTTCACAATCCTGCTGCCATGCCTATCTTTCACACCCTGCTTTGGCCACAGTAATCAAATAAATGCTATCATTGATTGGTCACAGGATCAATAATATGGAAGGCTAGTCATTTTCTCTAGTCCCTAAAAACTCTTCCCAAAGAGAAATCCCAGAAGCAGAACACTTGCAGCTGATCTAGGGGATAAGAAAGCAAGAAGTCCAGCAAGGTTATACCTTATGGACTTTAAGTCTTAAGGTACTCACTCAGAAATCCTTCCCTGTAAGCTTCCATGATCTGACAGGGTACGTAAACTAATTTACCATCTTGCGCCTGGGACCCATCAGAAATTTCCTTCTTTTGCCAGTCTACCCTATTCCATGTCTGTCACCCTCCCCTTTGGAATAAGCTTCAGACATTGGTACTACCTGGTTATGAATGGGATGGTGGAGATTGAGTACTTACTGGGCTACCTTCTGCTTGGGTTGATCCTTACCTTACACACACACACACACACACACACACACACACACACACACACACACACTATAAATGTATCTTAAAAAAGGCAAGCATCATATGCAACGTACACATATTTGAAGTGTTCCTAGTAGATACAGGAATAAAGCAAGGGTGGCCTTTTTTTATCCACTGTTATTTGTTATAATTCTAGAAATGTGAGCAATAGCATAGCAATATGGTGAGAAAGAAATGACAGGCAAAGAAGAACCATAACTATCACTGTTAAGTAGAAATTATATTCAATATTGTAAGCTTTTTGAGAATAGGGATTAATTTTTTTAAAAAATTTGTAGCTTCACTGCCTATTATAGTGCCTAACAAATAGTAGATATTTATAATGATTGTTGAAGTTTGGCCTCAAAGAAGAGATATGAGAACATACCTTCTGCCATGCCTTTGTAGACGTGAGGGTGGTCTATAGTGTATTGAATTACATATAATGTCACACTTTTTTCCACTATACTGATTGATTTTCTTAATTTTTGTTTTTTTAATTTTGTTTCAAGGCATAACTTGGGATGGGTAGGTGGGAGGGATTAGAGTACAGGAAGAAATCTAGATGATGAAAAAACAAAAGATATCAATAAACATACATTAAAGGTAAATCCATGATTCAATTATGGAAGGAGAGGCAGGGACAGCAAGTAAAGGAGACTAGGGCAGTATCCCCAACCCCTCACAAATACATAACAGCTTTCACATCTAAAACAAGAATAGTACTCACCTGAAATCCGGGACAGTTGTAAACACCTCCATAGCTGTTTACAGAAGGGCACGGAGAGGATCCAACTAGGGATGTTGCTAAAGAGCCTTGGGCCTGATGTTCTTGATACTGGGCCTAAAGGAAGGAGTCCACAATGATCTTGCCAGAGGCCATTTCCAGGAATTGGCTCATCCTAGTCTGTTTTAGTTTATTGGGTGGGATCCTGGGGTCTGTCATCACTCTGTGAATCATGGCAGCTTAGAGAAACTAAGAGAGCCAGATGTTTGATTGGAAGGGGTTAGATTTCCTATCTCCAATCTCATAGACAGGGACATGTTAATTAGCAAGGAAGCTGCAAGTTTTTTAGCTTCCACGGTCCTAGACAATGAAGATTCTGGGTATGAGGGCATTCCCAAAAAGGGACTGGGCAGGAAGGAAGGGATACCAGGTAGGAGAAGAGAGCATGGCTAGGGCAGAAACACTCTGAGAAAGATTGATTGAAATAAATGTTTTTTCCACTCTGAAATATTACCTAAATGTTTTTCTGAAAGTACATCACCCTCCCCAATAAAATCTTCTATTCTAAAAGTAGATTAAAATGGATGTTTTATAAATAACTTTTTTTTTCATAGTAATGGATTCCTGGAGCTATGATGTTATGGAAAAATGTTGAGTATCATGTTATCTGATTAATATTTGTTTTTTTCTTTCTTTGACAGGAGAGATCAAACAGATTCTAGAAAATGAACTCCAGATTCCTGTATCTAAAATGCTGTTAAAAGGCTGGAAGACTGGAGATGTAGAAGACAGTGTAAGTTTCCTTACTTCATAGAAATAAAAGAATATTACATGTGCCTGTTGATTAAGCGGTAGGCAGGAAGTTCATGATCAGATTTTCCAAGTGTTCAAAGTGTCAAGAAACTGAAGTGTTTGGTCACTAGAGTATTCACATAATGTCTGAAAGGAGTGAGTTTTTCATATAATTCAAGTTCCTTGGCCACACTCTTTTGTAACTTCACAAACTCATGGGATTATCACAGAGTTAGAAGGAACCTTAACGATCATCTAATACTAACCCTTCATTTTACAAATGAGGTGACTGAGAGCCAGAGAGGGGATAGGACAGCTAGTTAGTGGCAGCAGTGAGAATAGAAGTTACATCTCCTGATCGAAATCAATTCAGCAGACATTTATTGAACTGTACCGTTCTGTGGGCTCTGTGCTAACTGCTGGGGACGTAAAGACAAAAATGAAAAAGACTATTGTCCAGGAGTTTGCATTCCAAATAAATTTTATATTTCTTTCTCCCCAATTAATAAATTTTCTTGTGTCTTCCAAAGGCAGTTATAAATTCAATTTTGTTCCCTCCCTCCATACACTCTATACACATAGAAGCATAAAATAAATGAAGTAGATGGCTTGAGTAAAATAAAGTGTCTATATAGATATGAAATACAGAGCACACCACAAACTTCAAAACCCAGTGCTCTTTTTTTTTGTCTTGGGAGAAAATTCAGACTGCTTTTTTAAAGGAATTTGGAAGTCATCGTGTCCATACCTCTCATTTTCTAGAGAAAGAAATGGAAACTTGAGAGTGGAACAGTTTTCCGTTGGTAATGCGGCTATTTAGTGACAGAATGTGGACCCAAACCAGTATCTTCTGGAGTCCCAGAGTCAGTCTTTAAAAGTGGTGATCTGCCTTGTGGGGCATTTCATGCACCTGATCCTTGGAGAACCCAAGCCCATTTAGAGCCTTCCTGGCCATGGCTGGAGCTCTGCTTATGCAGCCCTGGAACATTCTATTGCCTGTACCACATACATGTGCATGAGAAGAGGATTGGAATAGAGTTAGTCACATTATATGACAGTATGAGCAGACCTTTTGAGTATCCATTTGGTTAGAAACATGGTGCACAAAGGATTATGAATGACAGTAGAAAAACATCGTGGAAGTTGTATGTGTGCTTCACTCACTTCCTGTGCCTTTTTGGAAGCTGGACCATCTCTCTGTCCTGAAGAGTTTAGTTTCAGATTCCCAAATTCCCTTTGAGCTCAGAGAGACTGATTTTGTGCAGTGAGTAGAGACGTAGTCTTTGGCTTAGAGATGCACCCTATGTTTCTCAGAGAAGGAAGGTGAGGTAGGGTGGCATAGTAGAAAGATAGCTAGCCTCATCACTTGCTGGCCATGTGATCCTTTAACCTCAGTGCCCAAGCAACTTGTAGACTAGATCTTTAGTATGAGCTAAGCTAAGTTCCCAAGCTTCTCAGCGTTGGCTAAAGTGACCTCAAGGCAGCTCTGAGCTCGATGGGCTTCTTAGGATTCAACCTCTTATTGCTGGAAAAATCCTGCTTTTTTCTTATTCTGTTAGATTGTGAGCTTTGGGGGAATAGGTGCTGTGGTATCTGTTTCTGTAAGTATTTATTTAGTTCTCTCTTGGTTCAGAGAATTATACTTGAACCCCACTAATGCCTGCTCCCTGTCTGTACTTGGAGTGCTTATTGTCTAGAAGGAGTCAGGCTATCTGTTTTCCCCACAGCAGGCAGTGCTAGGCCTCTCACTTGGTACGTGCTGAGTAAATATTTGTTGAATTGAATTAAATGGAAATATATGCTGAATTTATGAAAATAGTACAGTATAGCTACAGCCAAAATGACAGCTTCTAAGGCGTTGGCAGTGCCCAGAAACAGTCATGGTTTTTTCTTTTTTTCAGACGGTCTTAAAAACTCTACACTTGCCAAAAAACAACTGTCTTTATGTGCTCACACCCGACTTGCCACCACCTTCCTCGAGTCATGCTGGGTAAGGTCTTCATTTTCATGGGAACATGAATTGAAAGGTTTTGCTATTTAGTGGGGCTTCTACATTTCAGACTTCTGGTTTGGTTTATATTGCATTTGAACTTCAGAATCAAAGCAGAGATCATCACCAAATCATTCATCGATTGACAGTCCTTAAGGCTAGAATTTTCCTTTCCCTTGAATGTTCTCTTCCCTTAGAATACAAGAAAATCACTTCCCTTCTGATTTCCATGGTCAGATCCTGCTTATGGGATTGTATTTAGTTCAACTAAAGCAAATACACTATTGTCTAACTTCTGACAACTTGAAATGGCCTGGCTCTCAGATCATTGCTTGGACCCTTAAGATAGCCTCTGTAACTTAACCATCCTTTGTGTCAAGAACATTCTCTTCCCAGAAACAGGCCCTGGGCCTGCTGTCAACAACAGCAACAACAACAATAATAATACTTTCATTATTGTTGTCATCCCTGTTGTTATTGCTGATGAGTTTTCCCGGTACATCCTTTGTTTTTGTGCCTATTAAAAACCTTAGTACCTTTGGGAGGCAGCATGCTGGGGGGTGCTGGGACACGGTGAAAAGAGCCCTGGCTCCAGAGTCAGAGGGTGGGGTTCAACTCCAGGCCCTGACATTCACTAGCTTCGTGGCCCCAGGCAGGCCACTTTTCCCTAGGCTTCAGTTTCCTCATCTCCAACATGAGGTTCCTTCTAGCTCTAGATGTATAGTCCTGTGTTTTTAGAACTCTACTGTGTGGACCTTCTTGTTGCTTTTAAAGTTTTTCAGTGTGTTACCTACACATCCTGGGCTCTGCACCCTGTGACCAATGTTGTTCTGTAATAATGTTGTTGAGATATTAGGATAATTATGAAAAGAACGATCCCTCACATTTATGAATTATTTTCAGGTGCACAAAGTACTTCCACATAACAACCCTGAAAGACAGGTAGGGGCATTTACTCTGTTGCTCCAGGCTTACTTAAGTGATCTGTCCAGGCTTACATAGCCTCGTGAGTGTCTGAGCCAGGATTCAAACCCAGGCTTCTCGGATTGAAGGCTGATTCTCCTTCCTTCATCCTAGAGCTGATAGAGTGTGGCTAGGACCAGATTAAAATGTAATTGGAAAATGTTTAATAAAATAATCACACAACCTAGATAATGTGAATTTATTTTTTTCTAAGTCAGTATGGAGCCTGCAGGAAAGAAAACACTGCTGTGCCCCACACTCCTCCTCAATGTGATAATCAAGTTAACAGACATTGTTTCAGTGCTAGGCAGGCCCTGTGCTATGGACTGGGGACACAAAGAAAGGCCAAAGACCGTCCCTTCCCTCTAGGATCTCACAGTCTGTGGGGGAGACCACATTCAAACATCCGTATACAAGCAAGCTGTCAGCAGAATCATCAACAGTGTTAAGGGCGATTTGAAAAAGTTGTGGCTAGCTAGATCATAACCATAGCCCATTCTCCATCCCTGAGCCAGATGCAGTATCCTATGGCTTCCGGCTCAGAAGGCTTTGGATCCAACTTCTCTCTCATTTGGTCCAACAGATCAGACAGCTGCATCACAGCGTGGCAGGGCAGGGACCACTTTGTGAATCTGAAAGTGCTGTTGTTGTATGGGTTGTCGCTGTCACCCACCGTTTCCTATCCTTCCTGTGGTGCTAATACTCCTCGGGCATTTGTATCAATATTGATTGAGCCCTCAGCCAGGATGACATTCCACAAAGAAGGCCGTATCTGGTCATCTCAAACATTCCTTGGTGGGGTAGTTAAAAGGTAATCCCTATCATCCCACATATAATCCATCTAATTAAAATTAGGCAGAGGATATGAGGGTGTATGAACCACTGATTTCCAGGAGTGAAATTAAAGAGATTCCTCCACATGTCCACCTGGGCTCATGGGAAGGTGCCGTGCTATCCAGTAACACTCTCAGTCTAAGTGCTCTTCCCTGGGTGCCACAGCCTCCTGATACCTACTGAGAAGTAGGTCTGTGAGCCTGGGCCTCACATGAGTGATAACGACAAAGGCATGTTCCATTTCATCTTGAGCAGTTTGCAGATTCATTCCTATTTAGTGAATAATTATTAAGCACTTACTGTGTACTTGGCACCATGGGTAGTCGTATAAAGATTAAGTTCACCCTGATCTCTGCCTGCATGGAACTTACAGTAACACATATACAAATAGCTCTAGTGTAAAATGAACCATAGACTTAGGTACAAGCCAAATGTTGTGCAAAGTCTAGGGAAAGAGAAGACAGAAGGGGCATTAGCAGCTTTGGGGAGTAGCAGTGGTTTCCAAGAAGTGGCTTTGAGTTGAGCCTTAAAGGATGCAGTAGATAGAAAATGGTGTTAGTGGAATTGATGACAGGCATAGTAAAGTGTGAGCTAAGGATGGGAGCTAGGACAATGTGAGGAAGTCTGTGGGGGAGGTTCAGGTGGCCTAGTTTAGCTGGAGCATAGAGCATCTGGAAGAGAAAGGTAGAACATAAAACTGAAGGGAAAGGGGAGCGCCAGACTATGGAGGCCAGGAATGCTAAGTGACTAGACTCATGAGTGGTTTTCTGGATTGAGGTTTACCAAACTTTCATGGTGATTCTTATGGATTGAGTGACAGAAGGAAAAAAGAGAAATTAGAAATAGTTCATAATCAGGCGAAAATGATTACCTGGAAGTTTCTGGATGGAAAGAATGATATGAGATGATTACCAGGGTAATATGAGAGTCATAAGTAAAGGTACATTTTAAGATAATATCCTTCTAAACTCAAGAATTGTTCATTGTGGAGGAATAGAATAAGCCTTTATTAAAGTGCCCAATATGTGCCAGGCACTTTGCTAAGCACTTTACAAATGTTATTTTATTTAATTGCTCTGTTCAGATACTCTGTCTTCCTGTTGTATCTCGGAGAGTTTTGCTTTTTGGATAATATATATTACCCATTTTATGTTTTCAGTGTGAATACCATAGAACAAAATAACAGCTTGGGAGCCTTTTGGAGCTTTTAAAGTTCACATGAAAAATTTTGTATATATACATATATATATTTCCCTCCATTTGTAACCCTTCAGTCTGTTTATTTGCAATGCAGCTCTTGGACTTCAACTGTTGTTATGCCCATTTGATGACATAGCTGACATTGTCTCACCCAGTTCCATTTTTCTTACTATCTACATTCTTGAGGTTATAATACGAAGTCATTTATTGAATATTAAATATCATTGACAAGATATTGATGTTGATTTTAAAATTTAACATTGCAAAGCATC